GTACAGCTGTGTTGTTTTTGCATTATTCATAGGAACCTTACATATGTTCAATAATATAATAATTCAATAGTCTATCAGTTACTCATAAATATTGATATATTATTGATAATATTTAGTTAATATTGATCGATTGATGTAGATCGTACCTGAGAAAAATGTATTAAATTTTAATAAATATTTATTTGAATAATGCCAACTAAACATTTACTTAGAATAAATAAATATTACTGAATAAAAAATAATAGTTAAATCAAATTAATAGTTCTTGTACCAAATAAATATATTTTTACATTCAGTAAATATTTAATTGATACTGTGCAAATAAATGATTTATTAAAATTTAGAATATCTTTTTTAATGAATATTGACAATGAATCGGATTTCTTCATTTTCGAGAATTAGTATATTCTATCGCAGCAGTACTAATGCTCGAGAATCAAGAAATCTGGATCACCGTCAATAATATTGTTAGTATTTGTTAGTATTGACAGTATTACGCCTATGTATAAGATCCGTAATGTACATAAAACTGAACTGAAATATTGTCAATAATATTGATTGTAAAGTTGTAAAAATATTGATGCGTAATGTCAGTATTACTGATTTAATATTACTGAACAGTATTGTTGATCGTGTGAAGTCAGCATTAGAGTGATCTAACAGCTCCGTAAATATATTATAATTAACGATAAATGTTTTATATACAACCAAACAGCTGGTATAATTGCGTGATTCACTGATCATGGGAAGTTGAAAATATTTTTCACCACGATAGCAGAAAAGGAAACGTTATAGCGTAATGTGATACAGTTGACTCTGTTTGCTGAAATCAAATCGTCAATAAAACGTAGTTCCATTATTTTAATTTATTTAATTGAAATATTTCTACAAAATTATTTTTATTTGATTTATTTTAATTGTTTTATTTGATTTGTTTCTAAATATGATGCCTTGTGATAGCAACTGTCAATTCAAACATAGCAATAATAATTTAATAATTTATATTTATAATTTAATATAATTAATTAAATATTTAACAGTAATTTCAATAATAGTGAAAATATTCTCAGTGATAACGTTGTAATTATTACTCATCTAAAACGTCATTAATCATACTGATGTGTTCAACGACAGTTAGAAGCTCTAGAAATCCTAGTAGCATTAGGTTTAACCATAGAAAGGATAAGATGCATTTAAGCCGGGTATTCTGAGTTCAGGCTGGTCTAGTTACATCGAGTGTAGCGTTCGCGGTATAGTATTCCCGAGAGATCCTGCACTATTGAGACGGTGCGAGACATGTTACTTACTCGAAGTGACCTGGAAATTTCTGAGCAAAACGACCGATTCACGATGCTCCTTGACCATTAGGGAAGCTTCACATTCCAATCGGGAGTTTTCCTTGCCGTAAGCGGCGGGTAAGAGAGCGCGTAGCAGCCGGATGAGAGGACGTAAAAATAGTCCAACACCTCTTGGAATCTTGGTCGAGTCTTTAAAGAAAGAAATGTAATACCAACAGTCACGCTGCACTTACTTTCACAAAGTTCTTTTTCGTCGAGTTCAGCGCGTTCCTTTTTTCCGTCGTGCTACGTATTTACGAGTAATCCGAGAAATTGGCACTGTGATCAGCAACGGCGCGTTTTTACTTGTTTCAAGAACCCCTGGGGGATTCCTCAGTAGTGGAATAACAGTTTATTTCATTTTAGAAAAACTATGTAAAACTATATAAAACTATGTAAACATTTTCTTAAAATATAAATATAATAAGAAAATGTCAAAAGAAAATAATATTAATGAATAACATTAGTAAAATAATATGCAGCGCGATAATAATTCTGCATCTATTGAATTGGTAAACAACATTACTAATTGCAGTTTATTTTGTATTCTTGAAATACAGTTTTTAAAAATGAGAAACAATGTACAAAATATTAGATTGTTCATAGCATTTATCGGAAGAATTTTAAATACAATGCTCATAATTGTGAAATTTTTTCTTTACGATGCGATGGTTTAAATTCATTTAAAACAATCAAAACTGTGTATATTTCATAATTTACGTTTGACAATAAAAGCATTCGATGCCAGATTCTTAATTTTTTAAATAATTATATAGAGAGATCGCATTTAAGATTTTATATAGCGATATTACATGACAGCGCAAGTGTTTTCCGAGAAAATTGCATCAAGTGCCATATCGTCCACTGCTGTCGATCGAAAATAATTATATGATCCTTTGATATTATCAGCAAAATGAAGTAGTGGATAACAGAGTTATGAGTCAATCTCTCCGTCAGGAATAAGCAAGTCTTCGGAGGCTTCAGTGGAAACGAAAGCTTCGTGGAAATAGTTCTTATTCCGGTCGCGGAAAAATTTGAATCTGTTTTATCTTTAACTCTGTTTAAGGAAAAAAAAGATATAGTTCACATAACTAAAAATATTTATCTTATTATTAAAAATATTTAGTTGTGAGCAATATAGAAACATCATCCTAGTTGTCTTTATATAATAGGAATGTGTATGGTTGAGTACGATTTATTTGATGTGTCAACTACATCAATGTAGTTAGGCGTGATCTGGTTGTGACAACCAAAACTTGGTTGGGGGATCATTTACTATGGATAAGTTATATATCCGTATAGTTGCGTCAATCGTACATTATAAAGCATGATACAATAGGAATTAAATTATTAATAGGAATTAATTTCTTGTTACATCATGCTATAAATTAAGTTGCAATTTCAAAAAGCAAAAGCGACTCACCATGCTTACAATTAAAAATATGTATATGTAAAATATCATTGCTGCAACATAACCTAACCTAACCATTGTACTATGGTTCAAACAATCACATAAATAATTGTTCCATATTTTACTATTTAATCTGGTTGGCATCATCAGATTTTTGTGTAGACCAATCATACTGTTTTTTCTATGAAGCGATCATTAAATAAATTTATATCTATAAATATTTCATAATAATCTTATATGATTTTTAATGTTTGTAATTTATATTTATTTTAATACAATGCACTTGCATAAGTTTGCAAAAATAATTCTTGTTATAATTAAAATTGAAAGATTTAGAAAAGAAATAGTTTTCCCTTTATATCTATATATATATATGATATATGTATATATATATATTTCAATAAATTCAATGATGCGTGCGCGTCTTATATCTTCTTTATTTTTGCATGAGCGTGGGCGTTTGTTGTCGCAATACATCTTGAGACAAATCTCTTTCCGATATTTCTTCGACAGGAAATTACATTTACGCTAATATCTAGTGACTCAGTATCATGAGAAGAAAGTGTATTTGATCAGTGATGCGTTCGTTCCGATTTTAGTCAACGTCACGCTATTTATATATGTTTTTTAAGTAGTAAGTAGGAGCCACGTATTTCTTCTATTCAAAATTTTGCAGCTAACGTGATTAATTGAGCTTCTTCATAAAGCACTACATGGGAAATGTTGCGTGTGATCTAATCGATTGGAAGATGACGTCGGATTTCATCTGATGTATCGGTGATTTATTAAGCCGTTTATGAATACTAATTACCAAATTGTGTATTTGATCGTAACATAATCGTTTAAACTGAGATTGTGCTATTACTATATGAACATAGAGGCGATGAGGGGGAGATTGCGTTAAAGGAAAATTAGGAAATGATAAATTTGATTGTTACATAAAAGAAATAAATGATTGGATGGATTATAAAAAGATTTTGAATCTATAATATTGTGCAGTTTTTTGCATTTCTATATATTTGCAAATTTAATAGTAAATATCGCACTTTGTTATAATTCTCCCTCATCACGTCTGTATCCATATACTGTACATTTAGATTATCAACATTTAGATAACTAGAAGGATGGCCAACAGGAGATACACAATAACTAAAACATATAAGCCTAACTCGAGCACAAACAAGATATTAATATACTAGTATTTCAGTACATGAAATTAATAGCGGTACAAATTTCGACTTAACATTGTTTTGTTCTTCCTACATATATTACAAGTGTTATGTTAGATGAGATACATATTTCATGTAATGTATTTATTGCATTTAGTGTACTGAATTCAATCTGCGCATTTTATATGCTTTGGGCATAAATCCTGTCCGCTAAAAATGCCGTATATCCCAAACAGGTGAGATATACAAGACAACAAGCTAAACAAAGAATACGAAAGCAAAGCACTTGTATTTTGCTATACAACATGCTTTACTATTCCTCCACACGTATGTATCACGAAATAACCACTAGGTCTTTTACACGCCCTACAGTAATCATTTTATGTAGATTATAATTTATGATGGCGCTACTTATTACAGTGACAAATCGATTCAACTCACAATAATTTTTTAATATTAACAGTAAGAAGCTGAAATCATAACACATATACTAATATGACATAAAGACATGTAACAGAATAGTTGCGGGAAAATTACCCCCACTCCTTCTATTTTTTCTGATTTCCGCGGCGTAAATCCCAGCGCGGCGTATTTGCCGAAGTTGCCCTAATATCTTATTTATCGAGTTAGGCCTACTTACTTTAATTAATGTGTATTAAGAATAATTACGAGCTATATTAATTATTGGATAGGAGATAAACAAATTATTTTTAGATTCAGGATTATTTTAGCATTAAAGTTATAAGATTTAACTGATCATGAATGTCGAATGTAATATTGTAATTGAATCATACTTAATTTTCTACAGCTATTTTTTAATAATCGCCAAATATATGTGACAAAATGTAATGTATAGAGTTAGCACTCTTTAAGATTGCACAACATTGCACATGAGAATATAATGCGGTATTGAATTTAATAGATACTTGGGAACGTTGTCATGCGTCGTGCGAGCTTTACCCGCTTTGGAGAACCCTCTGTACTGTCGTGAAATCTTTTAATGAGCTTACTAAGCCTAGAAGCCTTATATCGACATGTCTCGTGGCAAAGTAAGGCGAAAAGCAGCATACCGTTGGTGGCAGTTGTTGCGTGCGTCACGTCGCAGGAATTTCACGCTTCGTAAAAAGCCGTAAAAATACGCAGTCTACTCTGAATTCAAACGCACGTTTACGATCATTGAAAAAGCTCGACCATGGTGAGTTTGTCGATCACAATTGAAGGCACGAGCGGACGAAAAGAAATATATTTTAGTCTTTTCAAAAATTTTGGATTTAATCCGTTCAGAAAATAATTATAATTCTTTTCATTAGATTCTACTGTAATATAGCAGAGTATAATAAAGAGAATTTATCCGAGAAATTTATATCCTAAAACTGGATCGATTTTACTTTGGAGTCGCCAAAAGTCACATCCTCTCGTTTCTGAATCTCTTTAATTGTAACTAATCAAATATTTGGTAACATTGGTGGGACGACATGTAATAACAATGAATAACTATAATGTCCAGCGATGATAGTTGAAATTCACCAACTATGGGTGTTTTCCAGCAAGGACACAGTGTAACACAGTGAGTCGGTTCATCCTTGTTTAACATTGAAAACAACGAAAATGAAACGACTCACTGTGTTACACAGTGTCTGACTATGTCCTTGCTGGAAAACACCCTACGACTTGTGATGCGTGAGAGTAACGGGGGGAGAGATTGAACTTCCGCGTACAATAGATCGGTTCGACTTATGGCGGAGGGATGTACCGAGAATGAAGGTTCGCCGGACATATCACTTTCCATAGAAATGATCGCGCACAGCCCGGGGCTGTCCTTTGCCGATAACTACGTCGTTGTAATTTCCTCGTTCGCTGACTGCAAGCTCTGTCGTGCGAATCTGTACGTTTCGTTGCGCGCAGTCGCGTTTCATGCCACTTTAGTGCGTACGATTGCCTTCGTTAGTAACCGGTTCCGAATATGAATTTAGACTAGGGATCCGAGAGAGTTTTATTTCGTCCTTGTCGATACCGATGACGTGTTATCAACTACTAGTTCTCATTTACATGCACATCGTTTTCGATAAAAGACAAAGCCGACCGGATAGGTGTGCGCTCGAATAGGAATAACGACCGAGCCTACAACTTTTCTAACTAAGCGTTCGACGGGCGACTTCCGAAGTAGAGCATCAGGGACAACGTTGTACTGTTACCTCATAGTGACCAACTTTCCGTTTGTGACGTAATATACTGAACCCGTTTAATTATAGGACGAGTAATTATGCAGCTAACGACAACGGTCGACATTTGATGGACCTAGATCGATTTTCGTTCATTATGTTTTCAATACACTTCTGCCATTTTTTGCCTTTACACATACTTTATATGTATACACATATATACAGGATGTTTTAGGACCCATGGGATATAAACTTCAGGGGATGATAAGTCATCGAAAGAATTAATTTTTGTTAAGGAATCTTATGTTCTCCGACTTTTAAGAAGCTTGTTCGGACTGACTGTGAAATACGTTATTGATTGCACGGCAATATTATGCGTGATGTCTAACAATAGTTTACATTTTTGCTTCCTTTCCTTTTTGCAAAAATAAAATCAATGGACTAGTATTGTCAGACATCACGTGCGACCTAACGTGTAACCAACCTAAGCTCCTTATGAATGTGTCGGAGGACACAAGTTTTTCAACAAAAGTTTTTTTTTGTGAAATCTACCATTTTCTGAAGTTTGTCCCATGAAAACACTATATATATATGTATAATATAATATATTATATATTTATTTATTTATTTATTTATCTATTTATTAAAACACTATGTACGTATATGGAAAGAATAGTTTTGCTCAAATTATTTAAAAATTTTGCTAGAAAAGATCTGAAAATAATTTTGTTAGACCATCAAAATTTTTTAGGATCCTCAAACTGATTGCTAGAATATCAAAACCTTTTGCAGCATTGCTTATTATGGCTGTGTGTGCGCGTTCTGCATAATACTTTTAATAGTTCAACAAAATTATTTTTAAATCTGTATTTATCTAAATTTTTACATACTTCAGCAATATCGTTATTATTTAATTATATGTATACATATATACATACACATATTTAATTAAATACGTATATCATTTTGATTGTCAAAATCATGTTAGGTAAAATTATATTTTGTCTGACACTATTCCTAATATGATAATCTTCATGAATTTCGTAATATTTCATCATTTACAATCAGGACAAACAGTTTTGTTAATTTTTTGCCTTTCATAACGAAGCATGAGATGTCAGAGCGTCTGTGAAACTAATCAGTCGTTTATTATCGATTTGTTTTCCATCGTCACATCCTTTATCAATCATAAAGACGGCGATAGAACGTGGAATGTTGAATTCTCTGACAAATTCAATTACGATCAATCGTTGACCTTTGTAACTAACTTGAAATCTTCTGCCGCCCACCTGCTTCCATCAATATTCTATCGTGATCCCATCGTATCCCTATTATTCATCGTTGAGGTGTAAACAATAGACCAAAATTTTGATAACTAGCCAGTTACTGGAAAGACCGGCCGACAGTCGAGAGAGAGAGAGGAGAGAGAGAGAGAGAGAGGCAGAGAGAGAATGGCGCATTGTAGACAGAACGATCTGCTCTGACGAAGGCTGTTCTTTGTCGATAACGATTCCACTATTCCTCCTTGCAATTTACTTGGTATAATACCGTGAACTTTGATCTCCCAAGATCTATAGCTTCACAGATCGCGACATAGAAAAAAGAATTTATTAAAACTACTTAACGAACCATAGAGCAAATAAGCTTTGAGTTGCGTTTTTCAATCAACAAATCGATACGAGCAAATATTATGTGAGTTGCAAGAGTTTCCATAATTCTTTCAAGCTATCTTGTAATAAATCTTGCCGAATTACAATTTTAATATAAAACATATATAACATAGTTTAACTAAATATTATTTGTTATTCTATGTAAACATTAAAAAATTAATATACAGAAAAAGAAATTTTTGTTAGTTTTACGTACAAGAATTTTTAATTCTTAAAATATGTAAGAAAAATGGAATTTGTAATGTTGTTTCAACGTAAAATTGCACTTTCAAATAACATAATAATTATCAGACCTCTTTTTGGCTGTAAAAATGCTGAAGTGAATAAATTTTATTCTGTAATAATTATTTTATAATTAACGTTAATAGTTATAACAGTTATTACAGTTAACATAATTATAGTTAACAGTAAAAGATTTCAGTAAATTTTTTTATAACAGTTTATCTCGAGAAAGTGAAAAATCAAGAATATTTTTCTGTAATTTCAATTTCGTATGCGACAGTTGAAATGCGTATGTATATTCAATGCGTTGATCACGGTCATCACACCCACTCTCAAGTATGTGCGTCTTTTGTACGCGCAGGAATGCTACATGTAACTGTGCTCACACGCGTATCCCGGAACAAGGTGTGGATGCTTTTAATTTCATCTTCTCTCAGGTTCGCTGATTATCGTAAATCGTCACGTAGCGGGATAATTTTCTTTAAATTCGCGACGCGAATTATTAGTTGATACTATGTTATTTAATAAATAACAGAAGAGCAGAATACGATAATCAGTTCTCTTGATTTAGAATAAATTAGAATTAAAATTTTAAACGTATCGAACAATACCTAATAATAATTCTTGACGTTTCTTTAATTTTTTCATAAACGAAAAGATCAATTTTACTGAAGAATCTAAAAATTTAGCTAAATATAGATTTGAAAATAATTTTGTTGAATCAAAATAATTTTATAGGAATTTCAAACATGATAAGCAATGCTGCAAAAAGTTTTGACATTCTAACAATTAGTTTTAACGTCCTACATAATAATTTTAATAGTCCAACAAAATTTTCAGATCTGTTTCTAACTAAATTTTTAGATTCTTCAACAAAATCGTTCTTTCCATGTAAATACTCAAAATATTGTCCGTTTATATTCCCTTATAGGAATTTAATACTAATTAATTAACTAGTTGTTCAGTACTTTTGATATTCAAAATAAATAATTTCTAGTATTAAATTATTTCTATAAAGGTTCCACACAGAGCTCGTAAATTTTTACGAATGTGATTTCTTTTTTTTTTTTTATTTTATTTATCTCTGCTAAAATATAACTGATAAGACAAAAAATCCTATTACACACAAATTTCATTACAATTAAACGCGTAGAACACGTGAAGGACATACTTCTACGATGTTCAGCATTGAAATCAATTCTTGCAGATGATCGTTATATAATCAGCATGAAGAAACGTGGAAACAACGAAAATAAAGGTAGTAAGAGTTGTCATAATGGAAGGAATGCAGTGGAGAAGTCGGATTCGGGAGGTCTAAGCGATGACGAGAATCAAGGTTTCGGAAATTGGATTCGATCCAGCACCGGTGTCGAAATGATGCGGCTCTTCGTGATCACGAATTCGATTTTGGTCTTTGTGACTATAGCTTGGCCGAATATGAAAGAATCCTTTTACATCATCAAAGATTATCTCGTGGGAGAAGAGGACTAATAATAGATATCAGATAGGCATTAATTTTATAAAATTATTATTGATGATATAGTAACTGTCGCTTACGCGACAAATGATAGAAATTATACAAATGATAGAAAAATATTCAGTTCAGTTAAATATGTAAACACATTTTTAGTTCAGTGAGAAATAGATGCTTAGGAAGACGAACGAGAAATAGTCGAGAATAACTTTTTAAAAGATTTAATATTCTTTCAAATCCACAAAATGGGTAAACAAAACTGTGACAGAACTTCTTTTTCGCGCAGTATTTGAGTGTTGATCGTTGGTATTTGTATAAGATAAAACGCTTTTCTATATTTTTCTTCTAGAAGTTCCTCGACTTGGAAAAGTAAATCTCCAAGATCCATAGGTCGTATAACTTTTTAGTAGAACTAACAATTAAGTTAGTTATTAAATCGTATTATTTTAATTAGTCAGTTAGTGTTAAAATAATTTTGACATAATTTACAGTGCTCATAATTATCTTAACAAACAATTTTTTAGAATATTAATTTTCATTTACATGTATCTATAAATTTATTAAAAAAGTAAACAAAAAGGCTATGATATTAATATTTGATAACAAAAAATGTATAATTTTTATAAAAGTGTAAATTTTTTAAAAAAAGCTAAATAATTACAATAATTAAATAATTATATAGTAATTTAATGAAATATAAATACTCTAAAAGTATTTTAACGTAATTGAATAAATTTTTTAATTCTCGTTAAATATTTAAATAAATGTCAAATAAATATCAAAATATTTATAAGCCAGGTAAATTATGAAAATTGCAAATCAAAATGTAAAATTTTGAAATTTTATATCAAGTTTGTCTTTAGTATCTTTCACATATACATACATTAATAATAACGTAAGTCCGACAGTTTTATTTACATGCTAAACTTGGACTTATTTGCGTTCGGAAAACTTCGTCAAAATATTTATAAGCGCCAGTTCATAAGGAAACATCAGTCTCCTATCAATGTATCATATCAGTCGAATCATATCGGCACGTGGTCGGCATATTATAGTTATACGGTATATTTAGAATATATCTGCAAAACACTATACATAAAATATTGTAATATCGCATCGGAATAATCAATCGCAACCATAAGATCTTGTGATGTTGACATTTATTATTCGCGGGGTGTTTCTCCTCGGTGTGTTGAGCTGGTATAGCGCCACCATCTGGAAAGTAATCGATGGTTACTTCCAGGACCAGTTTCGTACTTACTTACAGGAAGAGTATCGCAAGCATCCGCGGATCAAGGCCGACTTTGAGAGCACCGGGGCTGTCGATAAGAGGCCTGCTCCAAGCGCGTTGCCAGCAGAGCCAAGTCTGAGCTACGGCATCGTGGAGACCTACGATTCCAACGCGGCATACCCGGCCGACATCGTAGACGCCTGTCCGCGTGCAATCGTTTCGAGCGGGAAACCGGAGGAAGTGGTGGCAGGTGGCACCAGCGAAATCGCAGCCGCCGTAGGCGCCGGTACCACCGATAAAAATGCATTCCCAGCGAACACGGCTCGATCGGCGCAGGAAAGTAGGAAACCGCCGAGCAGCAGCGACACACGCGATAAAGAAAGGCGACCGGGTGCTATCAATCAGGACGGCAGTCGCGAAGAGGATGCGATTGAGGGAAGCGTACTCCCGCTCCCCACGTCGTCCCCGCGTGCCAAGAAACTACGACGTCGTCTCGACAAGAGGGGATTATCGCGTGTCTCGAAAGAGGTCTCGAGGGAGATATCGCGGGAAAAGCTAAAGAATCGAAGAGTGAACACGCTCGTCCTGACAGACATCGATTTCGCCACCGCGAAGACCGGTGATGACGAAGACGATGATTTCTCGGAGTTCGAGGAAGAGGAGAAGGATCACAGGATCAAGGAAGGGATCCTTGTATCGGAGTTGCCATTTAAGCCCAAGGCAGATATCGGCGACTTAGATAGGGTTACTGCGGAAGAGTTTTGTCCTCTGACCTTGGAGGACGAGGCTTCCTGCGAAGAAACTACCACGTGGCCGTGACTACGCTTGATGAGCGTCGCGGTGAAATTGGAAGTACTAGATCGCACAGAAAAAGTTGTGCATTAGCAGCGGGACATCGAAGGGCTTAGGAACATGCTGAGAAAGCTGAGGGGGGTAGAAGACTTGCGACTATTATTAGAATAAATCTGTTCAATTAGTTTCGCGGCTTTATTAAGGACGATGATGATAGATGTAGTATGAAGACGTTTTAGATCCTTTCATGTTTTTGTTGATGTATAGCAATTTATTCAGTTCACAATTTAAATAGGATGAAATAAGGATATGTGATGTATAATATATATAATTTTAATATAAAACAATGTATTACCTTTTTAGGCAAGATTGAGTCTTGATTAGATATAACTAACATTTTTTTGGTTTTAATATTTTATGTTTCTAGGTCGTACACAAAGTATATGTGTTTATATACGGAGAGAATTTTCTTTTAAAATTTAATAGTCGTGGGACAACATTGTATTTTGAAGAATTTTAATGAAAATCTCTCTAATGCATTAATAAAACAATAAAATAAGTTTAAATTAATTTTATTGAAGTGCATGGTAAAAATCTTTAAAATATTATATCACAACTACTATATTTTCAGGGTAAACTCTAAGAAAAAATTCTCTCCGTGTATAAATTTAATTTTCCAATTATTCCTTGTTAGTATAATGTTATATTTATTTATTTTATAAACTCACCATTTTATCGAGATGTTAATTGTGGTAAAAATGAATTTTCGCTGCTTAAAGATATTGCGAATCTAGGACAGATATGTGTTTCTATGAATCGAACAGGGTCACTAAATAAGGCATCACTGTCCTTTGACCTTGCGAAAAGAGGTACGAGAAGAGAAACTAGCGAGTGGCCGTGAGAAATCAGAGAAATCACGATGTATATATAGTGCCGTATTAGAAACACTTGTCCAGCGGAAAAATCGAAAACTCACTTTAAAATGTGCGATTCGTCTACACGTATCTCATCACATATGCTGAAGGATAAAATTAAAAATTGATATGTGAGCGTGCCATAATAAATGAATAGCGTTCGTTGCGTTATATAAAGATGACAAATGTCATCAAGGTATCGCTGAATGACATGCGTGAGAGATGTTTTGTAAATGTAATTTCAAGGAAGATCGAGTAAAGCCGAAGCGTTTTAAGCTTTTTTTTTAATAAAATGTTACCCCATTTTTTTGCTTATTAAGTGATAAAATCTATGAGCTACTAATAACCAAGCAAGTTTTGCTTTTATTTATTGCACTCGAGAGTAAAATTGAGTAATCCTAATTAGCAGAATAAGTATAATAATCGCACATTTATTTTCCGAATTGTATACGCGATTAAATGAGAAATATATTGTATTTTTTCCAAAATATGTTTAAATTAATAGTGTTTGCATTGCATTACGTCTTTCTATATTTGACTGAAGCAATTTTTATTGCTGTCATTGAAATTAATAATTTGTCAATGGATATGCAAATTGACTATTTTGTTTCGGGCAGTTAAATGTAAATACAAATATAAATGAAGTAAGAAAATTTATTCATAATTATTGAACAATAAGAATAGCTGTTGAAATCCTTGAAAGCTTAAATGACTTTTGTGTTCTATAATTTACATTTACAATTAATCCATTTTAAATGTGCATTTTTATTACTGATATCATGTATGTGTTAGGAAATATATTTTAGTTTTTTATTATATAAATGTAACATAAAATAAATTAAACAATTTTTTACACATCAAAATTTGTTTTGTCGTAAATCGACATCTTATTTTTATAGATTAAAATCATATTAATAATATTAATAATGATTGAATCATGAATCTGCAAAATTGACACGGAATTATAATTTATTCAAAATAATTTTATTTTAGCTGCAAAATATATAATTAGATAAGTTACAGAAGCAATTATGATAATCGAGCAATTTAAAGCAATAAATCGTATTATATTGAATGATCATTATTTTCATTTTCCTGCAACAACAACCATGTAATGCTGCCGCTTTAGATTGTTGGTTTACATTTACACGTATATTGAAGTACCAGGTATCGATGCTTTTTGTTACTTTGAAAAGCCTCGTCAATTGACTGCGTAAATCGAAGTAATTTACATTCGCTAAATGCATGCGGTATCAATTGCATTCAAAAGCAGTGACATTTGTTACTGTTCGCTGAGGAATACTAACAGTGCTATTGAAGTGCGAATAACAATAATACAAGATGACAGGTTACCATAACGTCAATAACCAATCTCCTTTGTTTTTCGCAATTTGACTAACAAAACATCTCTGAATCACTATTGTCAAATAACAAAACGGTAGTTTACATAAACTAATTATAGTATAATAACAAAATTAATTTGCAAGTTCTTATGTAACGTTGATGAAACAAACATCTTAGAATAAAAAATTTTCTTAGTTACATATCTTATTAGTATCTTGCGAAAAATAATCTGCATATTTACTTTCAATTATTTACAATGTTTCAGTGTTTGTGTCTAACGCAAAAAGTAATTTTGCTTGCGAACGATACCACATTACGTCATTGAATTATTCAGTGTAATAAGAATAGTATAATATATTTGTATATATAAAACGTGTTTTACACGCACATTTATAGGTATATCAAATGCATGATATAACAGCGCGGAAAAGGAATTCTAAATATGGAATTTAAATTGAATATTTTATTCTGAGATTTATACGAATAAAGTAGCGAAGTAGTATGAATATATACATTAAATAAAATTTTACCGGAATGTTAAACCGAACTTAACTGTTTCTTTTGCCGTAAATTTTTGATTGCGCAACGAAGTATGAGTTTAATTCCCGATTCAATCTTCGTTTACATGATAAAAGACACATTCTAATCGAAATCGAGATAGCAGGTCGATGATCAAAGTTGTATTGGATCGTAGTGTTTGCGCGGATTCCGATAAATTCCTTATTCAGACATATGTCGCGGGCGGAATGACGCGGATCGAGAAAGAACCCACGTAACATCGCAACTGCGCTCAATATTTATAATTAATCGTTGCGATTAATCACATTAGAACGTTGTGCAACAAAGTGCACAACTTACACGTTTGCATAGTTGTATGCAAATATACTTAAGTTCGGCGAATTTAATTCTTGAATCACAAAAATTGTGTATGGAAATGTGATCGTCTGTTAAATCATTTTGTTTGGAATCGTTCTACAAAAAAAAAATGTCTTTTTGCGTGCCATAATGACGCGACATTTCCTTGCGCGGAAACGAGGGTAAAAATGATCCCGAGAGAAGCGGTCGCAGGGTAATTTCCTATGTAATTGAGAAAATACACCGGCAATGGCCTCGTTACGGTGGTCGTCGATTTCTCGTAACGACTTTCCGCGCGCGCCCTGATTTGGCGCTACACTTTTTTTTGCTTCTCTCTTGCATCGCAAAAATTATAATGCGGACGATAGCGTGTAGATATCTCGATCTGCTTCCGGAGAGAACTGACCAGTACTGACGGGCGGTCGAGAAAGAAACAGAGACGAATCGAATCTTATTAATCGCATTACTTAGGTACGATGTATACATTACACCTGCCTCGAGGGTAATAATCGATGATAACTCTCATCATCGACGATCACTCTCGTAATATCAAAAATTTGCTATCTTACTACCTGTTTAAATATACTGACATGTGAAATACATGCGTATGCAGATCCTAGAAATTCTGATTTTAGTTTATGATGATTATACACGAAAGGGCAATTTTTTGAAGTAACTAAAAAAAAGTTTAGCTAGATTTGAAATGATTTTGCTGGACTCAAAGTAATTATGTAGGACGTATAAATTTGGTTGTTCGAATATTAAAAATTTTGGCAGCATTTTTATGTCATTTGTTCACTTACTCATAAATTGTGTTATTTTGACACTATAATAAGAAATGTTAAATATCAATTTAACACAAATCTTTAAATAACATAATCACGTTATGTTAAATTGACATTCGAATATTTTAAAAAATTTAACACAAATTATTCAAGATCTTAACAAGAACATGAGTGGATCGTTTCCATAACATAAATATACAATGTTTTTTACTGTGTATGATCAATTCTTTTTGAAAGATTAATTTCTTAGAAATTTTTATGTGAGCCAAGAATAAAATTTATCTAGATCTAAATCTCTTTCTTTTCATAAATAAAGAAATTTTATTTAATTGAAATGTCGGTGTGAGAAAGTGCACTTTTCTTGAAAATAATGCTGGAGATATACTCCTATATAATGTGTCACGTCACAAGCCGCGAGATTTTCTCAAAACAATTACGCATAATAAATGCCTCAAAGGAGATTCCGACATCATGACCCCACTTTCTCAGTTTCGGAAAGAAGAAAGTAGTCCGGAATTCTTAATCTTCTCGCCATTTTTAAGTTTCGCTGCGTTTGGTGAGGTGGAGCGGAATTTCGAAGCAATTAAGAGAGATACGCAAATGAACCGTAAAGCGCAAATTGAATAAGCATCAGAGAAAATCTAGTTTCACTTTTGCGCCATCACATCCTTCTTCTTCTTCTTCGCGTGCCGCGTGCCCTGCTCCATAATGGATTTTCTAATGAAGATTATCAGCATTGGTTACAACCATCAGCGTGGTTAATTGGATCTCGCGGTAATATCATGTGCGAGCGATTTGGGGTGTGACGCGATTTACACCTGCGAATAATGCTAACTCGAGCGCGTTTCACTTCGCTTGATGCCGGCAATTGAAACTATGCGGAATTAATTTACGTGACATGTGGAGTCTGTGTACGTGCAAGGTCGTGTCTTCTGACATTTTCGTACGTAACCGATAAACACGTATTCAAGGAGCGATATCTGCAATACTTGTTTTTTAAACCGTTTGTACATTAAAGTTATATAATTTGCTATGCAACACGTAATTCCAATGCGAGTAAGATGGCGATTCTTTCATTAAATTTTTGCAAGATTGTTCAAGATATAATAATTATGTAATTTTCCTAATGAATTGGTCGTAATTTAAAAAAAAAATGATGTTATATTAACAGCATTAACTGACAGTCTAATTGAAAATAATCTTGTTAATTTAGTGACATTATTAATGAAAAAAATGCACCATACTCCTGTTTTAATAAAATGTTATTTGTTTTGTTAATGCTGTTATTAAAAATAAACAAGATTATTTTTAATCACATTATTTATTAGCTAATATTGTTAATTTTATTTTTCTTCGTGTATGTATAATTAAATTATTTATGAATACCGAAACTTAGACATTAC